AAGGGACAGTGGTTCGATGATATGTTTGATATGGTTTTTATTTTTCAACTCACACACTTATATCTGTGGAGCTCATGCTACTAGTTGTGTGTCCATCTGAGAAAATGTAAATTTCACCTTTTAGAGAAACGAGACAATTTATAGAAAATTTATTAGAGAAATTTATAGAGAAAATTTAATAATCAGTCATTTTTTTCCACAGTGGAATTTGACCCTTGCAATTACTACAATGCCCCTCAAGGGGGCCCAGGGACCCACTAAACAAAAATCTCACAAAAAATAAAAATAGTAATAATTTAAATGACTTAATAATTGACTAAAATTTCAATTTTTGAAGACAACGCTGATATACTGGCAGGAATTGAAGAAAGACGCTCACAAAGATCTTCTTCAACAGCTCTGATAATCCTTTTTTTCGTTTTCATAGCCATCTGCTGCCACCTAGCGGAAGATGACTAAACTGTTCTGCTTTTCATGCTTTGACGAGCAAAGAAAAATTACATGCAATAAATAAATAATAATTATCAGCCCAATTAAGTCGATTTGGATTTTCCAAGGCACACTAGTGGGCCACGGCACAGATGTTGGGAACCACTGGTTTAGACATGGGGTTTATTTTTTTTTAGTTCAGGCTGAGGTATAAATGTATACACATTCATTTTGGTTAGCTCAAGTGAAGCTGGTTCTTGTGTCACTAAAGGCATGGATGTTCTATTTCTAAGCCCCCGCCCCACATGTTCGCTCCACTGTCCATGTAGCTTTTTATCTTTCTGGCCACTAGGACCCTTAATGCTGATAAAGAACAGGTGGATTTAAATCATTTTTTGTGTCCAGACGTTGGTGTGTGGAGAAACTAATATACTGATATATCTGACTTGGAGACAGCCTGCTTCGTAAATGCATCAGAATAAATAAACAAATAAATAAACAAACATACCCCGCCCACGACCGTGGTTGGGTCTAAATGGATCCTGGCAGAGTTGTAAAAATTGCCCCAATCATGCGCGTCACACGCACGAGAAGGCGTGCCTCAGATTGCGCTTAAATTTAAGTCTGTTCGACGGAGGACACAGTTGGCTGTTACGCGCACACGGTCTGTATCGCGGCGTTGGCTGTTGTTAATTGTCCGGAACTGATCTGATTAAGTTGAGATTTTTTATTTTACTCCGCTTTTCAGTGAAATTAAACCTTTTTTTTCTTTTTTTCTTTTTTGTTGTTGTTGCACCGAAGGACAGAGTGTGCCACCGTGGGGCTTCTGGGATGCGCGTCAAGGGACACACGCGACGGACCACCCATACGTGAGACTCAGCCTTCTCTAAGCTCCCGTCCTCGCTTGGAATGAACGAAATATAAACAGCTGTTCTGTGTTTGCGCCTGTGAATCGATTCATCAGCCCACAGACGTGCAGCGGCTGCCCGCAGAACCAATGGCCATAAGGCGTCCGTCTCGGAGCGCGCGCACTTCTTCCCCTTCGACGTGGACCCGCGTCTAGCTCGGCTGAGACGTCTGTGTGAGAAGTTTCAAGTTGTTGCTCCTTTGTGTCTGGAACCAGTGCCGTCCATCATCCCAACAGCAGCGATGATGACCGAGGGCAGTGAGGCGGAGAGCGACGCTCCGCTCCAGCGCTCTCCAAGCACCATGTCCATCCAGCCGGTGACATCCAAGGTACTGTGGAAACTACACACTCACCCCCGGTGACCTGGCAGCTCAGCTCCACACGCTCCACAACCAAACATTCACACATTTAGGAAAAAAAAACAAACTTTAAACAACCCCCATCCCCCCCCCCCCCCCCCCCCCCACATATATACTCAAAGTACACAGATATTTAAATTCTGTGTCCGCACTCTACTGCATTATTTCACCGCACGCGCGTATTGGTGATGTCAAATACTACATCACAAATGCAGTTGTATTCGCCTTCAGTGCGTCACTGCTATGTTTCACGTAGGGTCTGATGGAGTGAGGCAGGGGGGTGGGGTCGGGGGGGGGGCAGTGTCATCTCATGAGCTGAAGTGTTTCTTCTACTTTATTGGACCGTTTTGATTTGATCTTGTTCATTCTTGATATTCTGAAAATATAAAAATGTCACCCATTTCCTCCAGCGCCCCCTGTGCTCCTCAAATAGTGGGTCATGACCTAAATTACAGGTAGGACTTCCTGGGGTCACAGGGCTGGATCGCATCATAATACCTGATTGTTCTGTTTCCCATGAGGACAAAGATACGTCTGTGTGGCTGTGGACTATGGTGGGAATGGGACGCTGCAGTAAAAAAGCCCCTGAGTGCTCAGTAACTCTGTATCAGTACACAGCTATCAGGAAACAAGGTTATTTACATTAACGTGTAATGTCACGCCACATCTCCAAGTCATTTTTTCAGTAGTTAAAGGTTCTCAGGCATCAAAGATATTTCATAAGAAGACAGCAGGATTTTCACCGTCTCATCCTGGAGGCTTTCAGTTCAGCCTTCACAGCTATCAGAGTCATATAGATAAAAGCAAAAAAGTCCTCAAAAAAAAAAAAAACACTCAAAAGCTGCTTTTTGCTGTATTTTAAGCCTCGTTTTGGCTTAAAAATCCTCTTTAAAGTCTTCACTGAGACTTTCAAATTTGTACAGTACGTCTCTGACCGAGGGAGCCAACTGAGTGCAGCTCAACTGGCAAATACACCGCATACAGTATTGAATTATAAATTATATTAAATTATTACAGATGTGGTAAAAGAAGTGAGGAGTAGCCTTTCACGGTGACGTTGTCTTCAAACCAGTCAAGCAAAAATCACATCTTCGTTGAACGCGTTTGTTTCAAAAATTAATACAAAGACAGAAACATAAAGCACTTTTCCTATAAAACGTACCACTATAGAAAATAGGACTCGCCGTGATATGTGGCGTTAGTGTTTGTTACAGACAGTGAGTCATGTCCCTAAGGCTAATGTTTGTTATTGGATTTTTTTTTTAATAAATGTCACTGTTTCATGAAATATTACAGAAAGAATCACACTCCAATGCTTGACCTTTTGTTAATCCCCCTGTTTTTCAATCTTGGGGTCGGGGCTCCGTGTGGGGTCACCTGAAATGTTTACTTGGTTTTTGTTATAATGATTAAAAACACAATGCACAATTGTTAACAAATGTTTTTTTTTTTCCCACTTTTGTTAAAATATCTGAGCTGGTGCATCTTGATTGACGGCCTTGATCATGTGACTGCTCAAGTGACAGCTACTTGAGTTCCTTTGAGTACTTTGTGCAATAATCTGGTTACTTTGTAATTGCGAAGCACTATAACAAACATGATAAAGAAAAAAATAGGCAGAAATTTGTGGCATCAAAATGGGGCCGCAAGCCCAGGTTGAGAACCACTGATTTAGGATACCAGTATGTCCTAGAATGTAGACCGTTATATAATCTCAAATTAAGAAATATTGATTGATAATTAAGTACACCTCAGACTGTCTAAAGTAGGTGTAAATCAGGATAATCCAGCAGAGGGCACTATAACTGCAGCTTTCATCAGTTTCTAATGGTCTGATAGTAAAGAAGACAGTGATGGTATGTTGTCACATGACCCCTCCAGCTCCCTGCCTGTTGTCTCGCTATTTCCATCGTTAATCTAGTCCCTAATATGTAAATGATGCAACGTTGAGCTGAAACAAAGTCTGACGATTTTATCGCTAGCGGTCACAAAGTCTAGCTTAGTATAAATGTCACATGTCCAACTTCATGATTTTTGTTCATTTTTTTATTTGACGAAATGTGACGTAATTTACACAGCCTGAGCCACTTTTGACCCAAAATGTTTTTATTTCGCTTTGAAATTCCACTTATTTGTTCAAAATCAAAATCAATTTGCTCAGAGTTTGACTAATGTCTAACGATTAATACATTAAAACAAACGTAAATATCTGCTGTTATTAGTGCTGTGCTGCTTTCCTCGGAGGATAACGGCTGACTGAGTTGAAGTGTCTCCTCCAAGTGCTCCTCATGATTCCCAATAAGTTGCTGTCTTGACTGTATAAACACACATTTCAAGGGCCCGCTGCTTCTAAGAGCCCGAGCCATAAAAGCTGCCTCACAGGCAGTGTGGAGCTTTTCACGAAGGACTTTTAGGACAATCGATTCATTTAGCACTTGATTCCACTTTCTACTGCTGCAGCTGAGCCTTTATCTCCATCCCATGCCTCCCACACACTGGCACATGCCACCAACATGTTGGTGGCAGAGTGGAGCTACTACTGCTGCTACAAAAAAAAAAAAGAAAGGAGAAAAAAAACAAAACAGCACCAGATTGTCTCACTCCTAGATCTCAATATTCATTGTCCCCAGGGAAAAGCATTAAAGTTGGCAAAATTACAAATGATTTCATTTGTAACCTCAAGATTTGGGCCCTGCTCCTTTTCAGCCCCGCTCCTGCAGCCACCCTCCCTCAGCCCTGCTCCTTCACCCCTGCTCCTTCAGCCCGCTCCTTCAGCCCCGCTCCATCAGCCCCGCTCCTTCCGCCCTGCTCCTTCAGCCCGCTCCTTCAGCCCCACGCCTTGAGCCCTGCTCCTTCACCCCTGCTCCTTCAGCCTTCCTCCTTCAGCCCTGCTCCTACAGCCCTGATCCTTCAGCCCTGCTCTTTCAGCCCTCCTCCTTCAGCCCCGCTCCCTCAGCCCCCCTCCCTCCGCCCCCCTCCCTCCGCCCCCCTCCTTCAGCCCCGCTCATTCAGCCCTCCTACTTCAGCCCTCCCCCTTCAGTCCTCCTCCTTCAGCCCCCCTCCTTCAGCCCCGCGCCTTCAGCCCTCCTCCCTCCGCCCCCCTCCTTCAGCCCCGCTCCTGCAGCCACCCTCCCTCAGCCCTGCTCCTTCACCCCTGCTCCTTCAGCCCCGCGCCTTCAGCCCTCCTCCTTTCAGCCCCGCTCCTTCCGCCCTGCTCCTTCAGCCCGCTCCTTCAGCCCCACGCCTTGAGCCCTGCTCCTTCATCCCCGCTCCTTCAGCCCCGCTCCTTCCGCCCTGCTCCTTCAGCCCCGCTCATTCAGCCCTCCTACTTCAGCCCTCCCCCTTCAGTCCTCCTCCTTCAGCCCTGCTCTTTCAGCCCTCCTCCTGCAGCCCCGCTTCTTCAGCCCCGCTCCCTCAGCCCCCCTCCCTCCGCCCCCCTCCTTCAGCCCCGCGCCTTCAGCCCTCCTCCGTCAGCCCTCCTCCTTTCAGCCCCGCTCCTTCAGCCCTGCTCTTTCAGCCCTCCTCCTTCACCCCTGCTCCTTCAGCCCGCTCCTTCAGCCCCGCTCATTCAGCCCTCCTACTTCAGCCCTCCCCCTTCAGCCCTCCTCCTGCAGATGCCTCCGCTCGCTCTATCGGTTGGAGATTCACTTCACAGCGATAAAGGGCTCGGTGTGAAAAAAAAAGGTTTAGCTTCAAACTTCAGCCTTTTTCTCTCCTGCAAAAAAAAAAACTCAATAAAACATCAATTGTTTCGTAGCCCTAACATACAGTATCAACACCTATACATTGACATACGGGGCTGGGCCTACTCGGCACAGGAAGTGGTTTCATCTTCTACCTAGCAGAATTAAAACCCTTTCAACCCAGTGGACACTGATATTCTCTCTGTCAGTTTCCATGTATCCCTGCGTAGGTTTTCTGTGGTCCAGACAATGCAGGATTAGGTAACTCTCAAACACTCTCAAATAATCACACCGTAGCTATAAGTGTGAGTGTGAGTGCTGTTTGTGTCTGTACAGTATGTGGCCCCTCGCCACGCTGAAGCAGACGTATAGATCATTTACACGACAAAAGCATCAGGCTTCAGTTAGAAACGTGTAAAAGAGAGATGTACGGATTTCTCCTTAAATGGGTTTTTATAACATAATAAGATGCTTTCTCACTGACCTCCTTTAGTTAGAATACATTTTGAAATGATTCTACTTCAAAGACCTGGCCCACTTTGAATATTAAGAGCCCCGAGGGGTGATGGCTATGATGAGTTTTTTATGTTGATGATGCTCATTTTTATGTTGGATCTCCCTCCGACCACCAGATGCTGCTGCGAGCAACCAAAGAGCTATCTATCTGTCTGCCTATCCTGGATCTCCCTCCGACCACCAGATGCTGTCTGCCTATCTATCTATGGGTTTTTGTGTAATATAAATACTTTCGGGGCAAAATTATTACTGACATTTAGTCTTGGGCCAGATAGTGGTCCCTGGGCCACAAGTTTGAGACCACTTCCTTGGACTGTGATATGATGAGCAATACATATTGTTAGTTGTTGTTGATGGATGGCTATTGTTTCTGCGTTAAGGAGGCCAAATGCTGCCGTGTCCATAGGAAAGCCTCATTAGATTCGGGTTCAAGGATGATAAATGTTTATGCGTCTGATAATATCGTCTGAATTGTTCTCCAGTGAAACAATAACCCACTACAAATTAGAATAGTTTTTCTTCTGCTGCCGTCTTCCCACCGGATGAATCGAACAGTCACATAGAAGCTATTTCATCTCCTGGCTAACAGATCATGCTGAGATTCCACTTTATGAACGTTTGATTTCCAAACCCACCCTGAAACCACATCCACCAATAAGACTTAAAAACCCTTAATCCAGACAAATCATTTCTGAAGGAATCTCCTCAGACATGTGTGTCCACGATGCTGATCATTAGATAAGGATGACAGCCAGAGTAGGAGGACGAGTC